CCCAGAGAGCCCCAGGCTGGGGGGCTTCCCAGCTACCTTGGTGGGTGGTCATGGTGCCCATTCCTGGGCCATGCTCCTGCCTACAGTGCTGGTGCTGGGACATGGGTGCACAGTCCCAGGAGACCCCTCACCACTCAGCTGCTCACACCAGGGCTGGGCACACACTCCCTAAGGAAAGCCCTGGCAGTGAGTCTCCCCTGCCCTGCTCAGAGCTTCTGATTCTCATGATGCTGCAAGAAAGACAGTCCCCGTGTCCTATGGCCTAGGAACAGGGCATGGTGCCCCGTGTCCTCTCCCTGCACTGAGCTGGCACCCAGAGCTGCCCAGCTGTCCTCGCGCGTAGCCTGCCAGCCACTCCGTGATTTGCACCCTGGATCTGAAGATTTTTGCCAGCTTCTTCCCCCACCTGAGGTCTGACTATTAACAGCAGCAGTGGAGGCTAGGATGCCCCCGAAACCTCATTTCTGAAGAGGTGGCCAACCCCCTGCCCTGAGCCAGGAGCCGTGGGGATTGATCTGAGGTCCTGCCAGGATTGAGGCACCTCATGTGTTCTCTTGCAGGGCGGGTGATCGTCCTCTGAGGCCGTTTGACAGGTGGGAGAAGAGTTGCTTTTAAGATGACACGAACAGACCCACCTGACATCCTGGTGTCCACAGTGTACCAAGACATCAAGGTGGCCACTGCAGCCCCTGGGGATTCCATTATCTGTCAGCCCGTGGCACAATGTGACGCCTCCATGTCCTCATCCCTGTCCCGCGAGCCGCAGCCCTTCAACAAGCGCCACTGCAGGAGTTTTGACTTCCTCGAGTCGCTGGAAGAGCTGGGGACCCCCCCGGCCATGGAGCGCCCGTGCCCGCGCCCCGGCACGCCTGAGCCCACGCCGGGGCCGCCGGGCAGGAGGGCGCCACCGAAGCAGGACCCTTATGTCGGCAGAGCCCCCGCGCCTCGGAGTGAGCCGAAGCGCCGTGCCCGCTCCAAGAGCGCCCCACGGGTGAAGTCCACCTTCACCGCGGTGCCCATTACCGTGGCGGCATCGCCACCGCCGGCCCGGCGCGGGCGGGAGGTGCTGCGAGTGGCACGGGAGCCCTCCCGCGCTGACCCCTCGCCGCGCCGCGACGGCCCGGTGCCGCTGCGGGTGCTGGCCAACGAGGTTCACCCCATCAAGCTGCAGCCGCAGCGCAGCAGCGTCAGCCGCATCTCGCCGCTCTGCCTGGGCAGCAACTGCTACGAGGAGGGGCCGGGGGCCAAGGTGGGCGCCAGCCCACACGTCAAGTGCCGGGTGGACATCAAGCCGGACGAGGCGGTGCTGGTGCACACAGCGCGCAGCCAGCGAGCAGCCCCGAACCGCCCGGAGCCCACACGCTGGCCCCGCGCCCCCGGCTCCGTCCGCAGCCTGGCCGTGCCGGGGAGCCGGCAGGCGTCCGCATCCCGCACACCCACCCCCAGCGACTCCTACAGCGGGGACGCCCCGCTCCTGCCCTACCCTGCTGAGTACTACGAGGCGGATCCCCGGGTGCTGGCGTATCAGACAGTGCCGGTGCCGGCCTCACGGGAATTCAGGGAGTACCCCGACAGGGGCTGCATGACCTTCTCAGCCGCCGGCGTCCCCGCCAAGTTCTACTACGCGGAGGAAGCTGCACGGTGCCCCAGCCCCGCCATGCCCCTCCGTAGCTCCGGCTACTCCAGCTACCCCTATCCCGGCCGCCACGCCGTGCCTCAGCCCTTCTACGCCGAGGACCCGGCCAAGGCTGCCGTCCACACGATGCCGCCCCGGACGTTGTACGTGGAGGAGGCGCGGGGTTACCCAGTGCAGGAGGCGCCTGCCCGCGCCTTCTACGGGGATGAGCCCCGTTTCTATGCCCCGCGCGGGACCCCTGTCAAAACCCTCTACGCCGAGGATGCTCGGACATACCCGGCCCTCGGGTCCTCTGCCCGGCTGTTCTATGCCGAGGACTACGGGAAGTACCGGGAGCGGGAGGTGCTGTCGCGGACGTGCCCCCCACCCCGCAGCGCACAGTCCCTGCACTTCGGGGACTGGTACTGCCCCGAGCGGGCCGCGCTGCCCTACCAGACCCTGCAAGTGTCGCGCTTCACCCCGCAGCCGGCCGGGCGCGAGGCCATGTTCTCCTCCTGGCACACCAGCTACGGCGTGACCCCACCGCGGCTGGGCCGGGAGACGCAGCACTACTCCAAATCCTGGGATAACATACTGGCGCCGGTGGCACGCAGGGAGGAGGCCCTGCAGCGCGGGCGCAGCTACGAGAACCTGCTCGCCCAGGAGCAGCACCGTGCCTTATCCCCCGAGGAGCGCCGGCAGCCTGTGGTGATCAACCTGTCGAGCTCGCCCAAGCGCTACGCCGCCCTGTCCCTCTCCGAGAGCTCCATCCTCGAGCGGGTGCACGCCGACGGCAGCCGCGGGCCCCCGGGCCGCTCCTGGTACGTCACGCCGGAGATCACCATCACTGACAACGACATCCGCGCCGACGGGATGGGCCGCAGCGACAGGCGCTCGGCCAGCTGGGACATGCTGGACGCGGGACAGGAGCGTGGGCCCTACGCCGTACCCTGCGCCCCGCAGCCCGGCCCCAAGGAGAGTGGCTCAGGGCGCCAGCGCAGCCTGGAACAGCTGGACGAGCTGATCACCGACCTCGTCATCGACTACAAGCCAGCACCAGGCCACCGCGCCGGGGACAGGGACAGCCTCGCCGAGCAGCTCAAGCAGCTCCTGAGCAGCAGCACCCCGGGGCCCCCTCGGCGGGGTGAGGGCAGGCGAGTCCCCCCCAGTGTGCCCGAGGGACCCCGACCCACGAAGGAGCAGCCAGGCCCCAGCTCCCGCACCGGTGCCCCACGGCCCCCGCCCACCCCGCCGACCGCCGGCCCCTTCGAGAAGTCTCCAGAGAACTGCTCGCCCGACCTGAGCGCAGAGGAGGACGACATGATGATGTGCTCCAACGCCAAGTGCCGGCGCACGGAGACCATGTTCAATGCCTGCCTCTACTTCAAATCGTGCCACAGCTGCTACACCTACTACTGCTCCCGGCACTGCCGGCGCGAGGACTGGGACACGCACAAGGCGAGCTGCGTCTATGGGCGGGTGGGCAGCGTCTGCCGCCACGTCCTGCAGTTCTGCCGGGAGAACGCCGAGGTGCACAAGGCCTTCTCGCGCATTGCCAAGGTCGGATACCTCTCCCGCGGCCGCGGCGTCCTCTTCCTTGGCTTCCCCAACGCTGGCTCAGCTGAGAACTTCCTCCAGTTTGGGCTGGAGAGCCTGCTGATGTCCCCCACCTACCTGTCCCTGCGGGAGCTGGACAGCTACTCGGACAACCTGGGGGACTACGCCCGGGAGCTGCGGGAGACGGGCAACCAGTACGACCCCAACGAATGTTTCCTGCTGAATGTAACTGTGGCCGTCACCCAGAAAGTGCCGGAGAGGCCATCACCCAAGACACAGGTGCCAACGGTCAGGAAATACGCCAAGGTGGCCTTAGCCTCCTCCAGCCCTGAGAAGAAGATCCTGAAGAAGGAGCGGGACATGGAGACATTGATCCTGACGCCACCGCCCGGCACGGCAGACATCGACAAGGAGGGGGAGGAGGGCCGGAAGGCACGGGAGATCTGCTTCATCAACATCCAGCGGGAGCTGCGCATCCGCGGCGTCTTCCTGCGCCACGAGTTCCCTGCTGTCTACGAGCAGCTCTGCGACTTTGTGGAAAGCAACAAGCGCTTCACCCCCACCACCATCTACCCCATCGACAAGAGGACGGGCAAACAGTTCATGTGCATGATCATGGCGGCCTCTGAGCCGCGCACCCTCGACTGGGTGGCCAGCCCCAACCTCCTGGATGACATAATGTGAACACAGGGTGGGGGGCACCCCTAGGGCATCCCCGCTGTAGATAGGTGCTGTCCTGTTGTGGTGGTGGGACAGGGACCCCCTTGGCTGTGGCACCAAGGGGAGGGGACTGCAGAGGGCTGCAGGTGGCCAGCGGTGCTGGAGGGACCCAGGGGGTGAAGGGAGCCCAGCCCAAGGTTTGCCCTAGAGTCCAAAGCCTGGCGAGACCTGGCAGAGCCCTCTCAGGTGAGCGGTGCCTGGCCACAGTGGGGACACCCCATGCACCCCCAGCCCCTGCCCGCCGGGATGCCACTCACCCAGAGCCCCCCGGGCCTGTCCCAGGGCCCCCAAGCCCAAGGGGTCCCACGGCGGCCCCAGGGCCAGGTGCTGCGGGGAGAGCTGGGCTGCACCAGGACCGTGTCCTCTTCGTGTCCGTGTGTCCTGAGCGTGTCACTGCGTGAGCGGCAGCGACTGTGAGGGCCCAAGGGCGGCTGGAGGCACTGGGCTGTCCCGGGCCCCGACGCAGGCTCTGGGCACAGAGCGGGGCAAGGCTGGGGGGGTCCCCGGCCGCTGCCTGGGGAGGGCGGGCGGGGTAAGGGATCCGCAGGGGGCGGGCGGGGTTGTCTGGGCGGTGTCTGAGCGGGTGTCTGGTCGGTGCCTGACCGGGGCCGGAAGGAATCGTCGGTAAGGGGTGATCGCGGCGGGGCCGGCGCTGCCGGGGGTGCAGGGACGGGGGGGCAGAGCCCGGGCCGCGGCAAAGGGGCCGTGCCCGCTGTCACCCGGGACGGCCGGGCCGTCCTGCCCGACACGGCCCCAGCCCCGCTGCCCCTGCCCAGCCAGGACTCGCTGCCGCTGCCCCTGCCCCACCCCAGCCCCGCTGCCCCTCCCCAGCCCGGCCCCGCTGCCCCTGCCCCCCAGCCCCGCTGCCCCTGCCCCTCCCCAGCCCCGCTGCCCCTGCCCCTCCCCAGCCCGGCCCCGCTGCCCCCCAGCCCCGCTGCCGCCCGCGGGCGGAGCAGCCCCGGCGCCGCCATGGCCGAGGCCCGGCCCGCCAGGACCCGGCGCCCCCAACGCGGCGTCACCGCCCGGCTGTGGGCGGGGCCGGTTCGTGGGCGCTGGTTGGCCGGTGGGACGGGAGGGGCGGGCGCGCGGGGCGGGAGCGGCGCTGGTTGGGCGCTGCGGCGGAAGGGGCGGGGCGGGCCGGCATGGCGGGCGCGGCGCTGTCGGCGGTGCCGGCGGTGCAGATCGACGACCATGGCGTGTTCAAGTACGTGCTGCTGCGGGTGCGCGGCGGAGCGGCACACCGGGACATCGTGCGCGGCCACGGCTGGGCCGAGTACCACGGTGAGGGGCAGGGGCCGCGGTGGGGCTGCCGAGGCCAGCCCGGCTGAGGAGGGGGCCAGCCCGGCTGAGGGGGGGGCCAGCCCGGCTGAGGGGGGGGCCAGCCCGGCTGAGGGGGGGGCCAGCCCGGCTGAGGAGGGGGCCAGCCCGGCTGAGGAGGGGGTCCTCGTGCCCCCCTGCTCCCTCCCCGCAGCCGACCTGTTCGAGCGCACCGCGGAGGAGCTGGCGCGGCACGGCCTGAGCTGCGAGTGCTTGGGCGGCGGCCGCCTCGCCCACCGCCCCGAGGAGAGGAAGATCCACGTCTACGGGTACTCGGTGGTAAGCGGGGGCCATGGGGGACCCACGCGCGGACGCGGCATCTCCCTCGCCGCGACGAGTCCCGCTGGCCGTGGCCGAGTCAGCCTCGCGTCCCCTCGGGGTGCAAGGGCTGGGCCCGGCGGCGCTGCCGAGGGTCCTGGGGGTCCTAGGGAGGGGAGACCCCACAGAACCCTCTTGAGCAGGGGCACCCCACGCACCCTCCAGCCTCTGTCTGTGGGACAGCCACACACCCAGAGCCTCCCGGGCCTGCCCTGGGCACCCTCCAACCCCGGGGGTCCTGCAGCAGCTGTACCCAGCGCTGGGTACTGTGGAGGAGCTGGGCTGCACAAGAACCGTGTCCTCTCTGTGTCTGCGTGTCTTGAGTGGGTCACTGCAGGAGTGTTAGGTGCTGTGGGGGCACGGCACTGGTCCCCAGGCCAGGGTGCTGCCAGTTTTCCCGGCTCCGGGGTGGTGCTGTCCCCTTTCTTGGGGGCTGTGCCAGCCACAGCTGGAGCCAGGCTGAGCTGCCACAGGGGGTTGTCACAGACACGGGCTCCAGGGCCTCTCTGGAGCTGGTTGGGCTTCCCAAGGGGTTGCCACCCCCCAGCTCTCCTTGGGTACCATCTCTCCTGTGCAGGGCTTTGGGCGAGCTGACCATGCCGTGACCACGGAGAAGCTGAAGGCCGAGTACCCCGACTACGAGATCACCTGGGCAGATGAAGGGTACTGACTGCTCTGGCTGCCTGGGGGGTCCCCAGGCGGTGCCAGCAGGCTCCCTGTGCCTGGCAGTGCTCTGGGCTCTCCTGCTTTTCCTCTGTGAGAACTCACCTGTTCCCCACCGTCACTGGACTGTCTATGTGCCAGGTGCTCCTGCCATCTCGGCGTGGCACAGCTGGTGAAGCCAGTGGTCGCTCTGTCCTGGCCTCCCGGTGCCGGGGGCTCATCCCACGCGTATCTGTGAGAATTAAACTCGTTGGGGAGCGCAGCTGCTCGGGTGGCCACACTCATGGCTTGGCTTCTCCTTTCCCAGCTCTGGGTTGCGCCCACTGACAACAGGAGAGATCCCTCTTGAGGGAGGTCTGACCCTGGAGTGGGCAGGGTCTGGAGTAGGGACAACAGGAGGTACATTGGGATTTGCCCTGGGAAGGGCTGAGACAGGAGAGAGGAAGGTGGTGGGTTCTCAGGCCTGGGGGAGGAAAAGGCAGGGTGAGACCTATGCCCAGTGTCCTGCCCCAACCTCCAAAGGAAGCTCACAATGAGGGATGATGAGCTTCATGGGTAAAAAAGGGGTTTTCCTGTGCCTCGTCCTTCCTTCCTGCAAGGTGTGACCCTCCCCTGTGCCAGGAGGGAATGTCACCCAGCAGTCACACTGAGGAGCACAGCTTCCCTGCAAGTCATTGGATCGTGGAGCTTGGAGGCACATCTGGGATGTCCTGTCCATCCACCAGCCCAGCAGGACCAGCTCCAGCAGGTCCATTGTGGTGACATTGTTGGAGTGTCCTGCACAGGGTCAGGAGTTGGACTCAGTGGTCCTTGTGGATGCCTTCCAGCACGGGATTCCATAGTTCCATGATTGTATTCTGTGATTAGGTTGCTGGGAGCTGTGGCCAGATGGGATTTGGGAATGTCCCTGAACCCAGACTCCCTGGCAGCCTGCTCTGGTTTGGAAAACCCTCACATGAAAAAAGGTTTCTCTTAACCTTAAAGCGGTGTTTGATGTTCTCGCTTTGTCCTCACTATCTTGGCCCTTCCCAGGGCACTCCCTGCTCAAAGGGTCAGGTCCCTGCACCCTTCTGCCAGGGCTTACATGCATGGGTAGCATCCCCCTGCACTTTCTCCAGACTGAGCACCTCCAGTTCAGCCTGGGATGTCCAGTCCTCTCATCATCATCAGGGAATCTCCTTCCCGGGGGAACTCTGAACCCACTTGGACACATCGTGAGTGACTGCTCTAGGGAGCCCTGCTGGAGCAGAGGGGTGGGACTGGATCACCTCTAGTTGTCCCTTCTAGCCTGTACCATCCTGTGATCATCGCCAGGGCCCCTGGCTTGATCTGCTCCAGTGTGCTCACATCTCATACTGGGAGCCCAGCATCCCCCAGGCAAAGGGGAGGGCTCAGACCTGTGGGATGTGCATGGCTCGCAGCCAGCTCAGACCTGTGGGATGTGCTCTGCCCACAGCACGGCTCACAGCCAGCTGATTCCCGGGCAGGACAGGGCTTCTGTGCCTGGAGTGCCCAGGCTGGTGGGGGTGGGGGGCTACTGATCCCACTGGACCCAGCTGGCACTGGGGGAAGGAGCTGAGCCCACGTTTTACTGTGCCTGATGCAATCCCGCTGCAATCCACGGTCCAAGGCCATCGGCGCAAGGGGAGAAGCTGCACTCAGCAGGGGCCCCTCTCTGGGCACAGGGGCTGCAACAGCAGAGGTGGGAGGGGTCCCGTGGGGCAGCAGCCCCTGTGAGCCCTGGCAGCAGCTTCCCCAAAACAGGTGGGAAAAAGGAGGGGGCAGCAGTTGCCATCCTCAGGCAGCACTGGTGGTGCCCTGTGGGGCTCTGTCTGCCAAGCCATGCTTCTTCCAAGCTGATCAGCCCTTGCTGGGGCTCTGCCAGGGGTGTTCTGCCCCACCTGATTGTGGCCCCAAAGCTGTGCCCCTCTGCCCCATGGGTGTCATGAGCTGGGTGCTGAGCTGCTCCCTCCAGCCAGAGTGGCGCAGGCAGGGGTGAGGGCTGGCTCCTGCCGATGGCATCTCAGGAACCTGAGGTTCCGGGGAGCCTTAGAGCCTTACAGTGCCTAAGGAGGCTCCAAGAGAGCTGGAGGAGGACTTTGAACAAGGGCCTGGAGTGATAGGACAAGGGGGAATGGCTTCCCACTGCCAGAGGGCAGGGTTAGATGGAATATTTGGAATATTAGATATTGCTGACCCTCAGCACAGCTGCCCTCCCTGGCCAGAGTGCAGCCCAATGCCAGCCCGTGCCCTGCATCCAAAGGCTCTCCCACTGCTCCTTTTCTTGGGAACTGGTTCTCCCTGTGATCCAGCCCAGGGGACTGGCACACCCACCATGTCCCTGGCATAGACTCCAGCTTCTCCCACCGGGCTGGCAGCATCCCTCGAGGGGCTGGTATGTGTCCTGTCCTGCTGTGCCTTGTCCCAGTCAGAGCAGCATCTTGTCCATGGTGAGAAGAGGGGCTGAAGAAGAAGGGTTCAGTGGGGGAAAGCTGAAGGTCTCCCTGGGACACCTGGCTGGCAACTCACTGCTGCAGTGCCAGCGTGCCGAGTGGCAGGACCACAGTGTGTTGTCCCAGCCCGGCACAACCTCGCCATAAACCCTCTGCCAGGCCGGGAACCGATAACGGCGGGGCTGAAGTCCAACACGGGCAGATCCCAGGGAGCAGATTACAGCCCAGGGCTCACGGTGTGGCCTCTCCGAGCTCCATTTCGCCGTCACAGTGCAGAGATGGCTGCAGGCGGGCAGGTGTTGGTCCTCCTGGTGCTGCTGGGTGAGCTCTGCCGACACGGGGGTAGTACCAGGGGCAGGGAACGTGCTGGCTGCTCCACGCTGGGCTCCCCAGCCTGGGCTGCCATGGGGATCTCCAGCTCTGTGAGGGCTGTGCTGCTCGGGCTGGGGGCACCGGGGCAGGTACAGCCCAGCCAAACCCTCCTTTGGGCTCTGCTGGTGAAGGTACGTGGGGTTCCCAGGGTGAGCAAGTGCTGGAGCTCCCAGTGCCGGGCTGAGTATCACCAATGGCTTTATTCAGCATGGGACAGAAAATGCCCAGATTTTCCTGTTCCTCCCCAAATGGGGGCTGGGACTGTGATATAGCAGGCTCAGTGCCTGGGTGGGCTCCAGCACCCCGAGGGCGCACAGGAGTGGGGCTGGCAGCGGGAGATGGCAGTGTGGGAGATGTAGAGTGCCAGGGCAGTGACAGGGGGTCCCATCCAAGGAAGAGCTCAGTGCTACCTGCCCCCGCCTCCCATCAGGGTCCTAAACCAGGGTACCCAGACAAATATCCCCTGCAGGCTATGTCTGTGCCCTCTGTCATTTGCTATGGGCAACATGCCTGGTTCCCTGCAGGGTTTTCAGCTCCCTTATCTTTCTCATAGCCAAGACTGTCCTCCCCTGCGGGTCTGTGATCATCAACAGCTGCAGCAGCGTAGCCGAGCAGCTCTGCGACTTTGTCTGCAACTGCAGTGACTGCTCCGACGAGAACCAGTGTGGTGGGTACCCATGCTCCCCAGACCCCCTCTCAGACCCTGCTCCTGGGTGACAGCAGGCGATGGAGTGGAGGGTGTTGTGGGTGCAAGTCCCTGGGGTGATGCTGGTGCCCAAGCTGGATGCAGGGTCCCCCAAGGTGGGTGCAGATCCGTGGGGTGGGCACAGGTCCCCAGGATGGTGCCAGAGCTGCCCTGAACCCCCATCTGCCCACCCTCAGGGTACCTGCAGCGCTCAGCAGTGCTGGACACCCCCTTTACTTGCGACTTTGAGGATGGTGACTGTGGCTGGCAGGATGTGGGCACCTCAACATACAGATGGGTGCGGAGCCGGGCCAGCCTGGCCACGTGGGGCACAGGGCCTCACTCGGACCACACCGTGGGCACTGACCTGGGTAAGTGGGAGCTGCTTGGCTGGTGAGTGCTCTCTGGGCACCCACGGCACCACCCCGCTGGGCTGTGGGTGCCCTGGAGCCAGGACACCCACCCTTGTAGGGTGCAGGGGATGGAGCAGACCCATGGAGGGGCAGGAGTGGTGCTGGCAGAGCTGCAGTGCCATCCCATGGGGCTGCAGCCCCTGCTCTGCTCTCTGCCCTCCTCAGGCTGGTTCTTGGTGACTGTGTCCCCCCCTGCAAAGACTGTGGCCGCGGCCTGGCTCAGGTCACCAGAGATGCGGGAAGCAGCTGTCACGTGTGAGATCAGAGCCTGGTACCACCTCTCAGGAAGCTGTGAGGGCACCCAAGGTAGGCATCGAGTACCAGGCACAGGGCAGTGAGGATGGGAGGCAGTGGGGAGGGACACGGCCCCCATGGCAGGGACAGGATGGCAAGGCAGTCCACACACAGAGCTGGTGGAACCCAGGAGTCCCAACTCCAGTCCCCAGAGCTGGCAGGGTCCTGGAATGCCCAGTGCCAAGGCCACTTTTGGGGCTCCCTGCAGGGCTCAACGAGACGGAGCAGCCAGTGCTGCGCCTGGACGTGGCATACGGGGACGAGGTGGTGGGGCTGTGGCAGAGCCCCCCGCACAGCAGCAAGGGCTGGCACCAGCTGGTCGCCTACCCGGGCCGGATCGCGGGGCAGTTCCAGGTGAGACAGTGTCTGTACCCGGGTACTGTCCCCCCAGGCTGGGGCCAGAGGAGCTGGGGGTGCTCCAGGAGCCCAGGGGGCCCAGGCACCTCATGCCATCCCTGTCCTCCCATCACAGCTTATCTTCTCCCTGACACAACCACCCGCCTGCGGGGCAGAGGTGGCACTCGATGATATCATCTTCAGGAACTGTGCCTTGCCAGGTGAGTTCCACATCTGCTGGGATGTGAGACAGGATCTGGAGGGAATTGGGTGGGGCTTTGCACCCCAGGGGAGCTCTCCCATTCCCCACCATGTCTTGGGGCACTGTGCCCTGGCATGGGGTGGACAGTGAAAACCTGTCCCTTGAGCCACCCCAGGGAAAGATGTGGGGGTTGCCCACCATGTCCCTGTGGGACCAGCCACTTGCTGACATGTGTCCCCCTGCCCCAGGGACCCGGCAGCAGCACTGCGGGACCCAGGAGAGCAACTGCAGCCGCGGCTCCTGCGTGGCTTGGACCCGCCTCTGCGACGGTACCGACGACTGCGGGGATGGCTCGGACGAGGACACGACACAGTGCAGTGAGCAGCCCTGGCCCCGGGAGGGGGTCCTGCCCACCAGCCCCCTGCCCACACGGATGGGCTGAGGCTCTGCCTTGGTGGGGAAAAGCTGTGCTGTGGGCTGGTAGGGGTCCCCCCAGCTCTGCCCCACGACTGTGCAGCCAGGGGGGACAAAATCACCCCGAGGTTTGTAGAGGGGTAGCATCAACCCAGCCGGTTACCTGTCCATGAGAGGACCGGGACTCTTGTCCCTGGGTCACAGCTGCCCCTTCTCCCCGCAGAGCCCTTCACCAACTGCTCCTTTGAGCGTGATCTCTGCGACTGGGAGGCAGGGGCTGGGCTGCCATCGTGGGACAGGAACACAAGCCTGAACCTGGGCACCTTGTATGGCTTCCCCACCCGGGACCACAGCACCAACAGCAGGGCTGGTATGACACATGACCCCCAGCACAGGTCCTGGGGTGGACATGCCCTGGGGTGACACAGACCTGGGCTCTGCTCAAAGCTGTGCCGGGACAGTGGTGTCCTGCATTCACACACCTGCCTGGCTCCACTCAGCCCCCTCCCGGTGTCTCCCACAGGGTTTTTCCTCTACGTGGGCAGTGACCCCAGCACGGGGGCCAGCAGCACAGCTCAGCTCAGCAGCCCCTCTTTCCAGGCCACCAACTCCTGCTCTGTGAGTCACAGCTGAGGCCTTGTGTCAGTGCCTGTGTGGGCATGATGGTGGCGGGAGATGGAGTCCCCAGCTGTGGGGACCCTCCCGTGGGGCTGGGGCTGCGGTCAGCCGTTGCTGGGGATGGGCAGCAGGTTTCTGGGGGTGTTTTGGTGACATGTCACACAAGCAGCTCCCACCAGACCCTGGGTCCCCTTCATATGGTGGCAGCTCCTGGTGTCCATTGGGAGCTCTGAGCTCCTCCAGCTGCCTCTGTGAGCATCCTGTGGGGCACAGGGGCCTGTGTGACCCTGCCCTGAAACTCACCCCCTTCCTCAACCCCAGCTCGTGCTGTACTGCCACCTCCATGGCTCAGCCAACAGTAGCCTCAGCGTCTTCTATGTGATCAACTCCACCAAGCAGCTGGTGAGGGAGAGGACAGGGGACCTGGGCAGCTACTGGGTCCGGGAGAGAGTGGACTTCAATTTGACAGAGGCCTTCAAGGTGGGCTGGGGCCATGCTGGGGGGAACTGGGCTGCCTGCAGGGTGAGGGGCATGGGGCCAGTCCGAGTAGGCACCTGTGGAACCAGGGCTGAACTGGGAACCAGACACCAGAGCTGAGCCTCCAGTGCTGGCATGTGCCACCTCCATGTCCCTATGCCCACACCTCCAAATCTCCCTACCAGCCCCTAGCCCAGGACCACCCCACTGGGAATGGAGAGTGGTTGGAGTGTCTTCATCTGCACTGCCCACCCCATGCCTTCCCGCTGTCCTGGCTTCTGTCCCCCACTGCCACCGACACAACCCAGCCCGCTCCCAGCTGAGAATGGAGGGCATCCCGATGACACCCTGAGGGCACCCTGATGGCACCCCTGTGGCATCCCCAGGCATCTGGAGGCCACAGCTGCATGCAGGGGCAGCACCATCCCCCTAAGCCCACTATGGCCCCATCAGCCCACCCTGTGCACCCCTGTCATCCTTTGCTCCCACTGAGTCCCTTCCTGGGGGAAGTGTGTCAGCCCCTAACAGGTGCTGCCTCCTCCCATCCCACAGCTCCCTGGTGTCACTCCAGTCCCCCCATACTGTGCAGGACCCCATGGTGATGTTACTGGCATGATGCTTCCCTGCAGGTGCTGATCGAGGGGGTGGCCAGCAGCGGGGGGACCGTGGCCATCGATGACCTGATCCTGTCACCAGGCTGTGTGAAGGAGCAGGGTGAGCTGGAGGGCAGCATCCCTCACCCTGCTCCAGCATGGGCAGCCAGTTCCAGGTGTCTGTGCCCATGTCACCATCCCTAAAGGACACACCATGGAGTCTGCGTGTCCCTCTGCTCATCATCAGACTGTCCTGGGTGCTGCACAGCAAGCACCTGCCCTGGGACATTGGT